CCTTCCTCCCTTCTTCCTTCACCCCCTCCCCTCCCTCCCTCTCTTCCTTCCTTCCTTCATGGCTTTTTCAAGACAGGCCTTCTCTCTGTAGCCCTGGCTGTCTTAGAACTCATTCTGTAAACCATGGCACAGGGTGGCCTCCAGCTCACAGAAATCTGCCTGCCTCTACCTCTTGAGTGCTATGTATTTCTAGCTGGCCTTGAACTCATGATCCTCCTTCCTCATTCTTCTGAGGCAGGGATTACAGGCATTTGTCACATCTATAAGTATGTAGTTTTTTAGTTATTTTAAAAATAATGTTGAAAATTCAGATTTATTCATCTTTCTAGTGTTCTTAGAACTAAAAAAATGTATATATAGTTTTTTTCTGTGTATGAGTGTGGTCTGCATGCATGTTCTGTGCACCATGTTTGTGTCTGGTACTCTTGGAGATCAGAAGAGGATGTCAGATCAGTGGAAACTGGAGTTATGGATGCTTGTGGGTGCTGGGAACTGAACCAGATCTCCTGAAAGAGCAACAAATGCCTTTAACCTGTAAGCCATCTTTCCAGCCCATTTTGGGAATTATTTTTATCTTTCATGTCTGCAGTATGCCTGTGTATGTTCTTGTTCTCTGTGGTGTTCTGTATGACTCATATGTCTTTTTTATGTTAGTATGCTTTCTTTGATTTTACAGTTTCCCCTAACAGCATATATTAGCAGTAGGATAGTGATTGCTCTGTCCTATATACTGCTTTATGTCACTTTGTATCATTAACACAACCACACCAGCTTGCCCTCTGTTGAACTGATGTTGTCTTTTATTTACTCCTGAACATTTCATACCATTCTGCCTTGATCATGATGCTTTTAGAGGCAGTGGATAACAGATTAAAAACAGTCTATTTTGATCATCTTGACTTACTTTTTATCTTTTGTACCTGTTTTAACCATCTAATTATTAAAGTTCAATTCATTTTTTCCTTTCTTTGTCTTTACATCTTCTATATCATTTCTCCCTCAATAACTGGTAATAATTTTAATATGTGATTGTTAATTTTTAATGCCAATTTGACTAAGTTTAATCACATAGGAGACACCCTTGGTATGTCCACAAGGTTGTTTCCAGAGAAGACTGATTCTGAGGTAAGGTCCACCTGAATGTAGGAAAAGAGAGAGATGCCATTCCCTTTTGTCTGCTTTCTGATCTGTCCAGATGGGAGCAGCCTCATTCCTGCAGCCAAAGGTTGGAGACAGCTCCCATCAAACTCTCCCCACCACGAGGGGCCATTTCACCAAACCAAGAGTCAGTCCTTCCTTCCTTCCTTAAGCTGCTTTTTGTCAGGTTTCTGGTCACAACAAGGAGAAAAGAAGCTAGAGTAAACATACACTAGAGGAAGGGATGACCCAAACCCGGACACACAACTTCCAAACTAGTAGAGGAAAGCAGGGGATAAATGTGACTTTATCAAAATGAAGAAAGAATAGCAAAGGAAAAATGTGGTCAGTAAACAACAACAAAAATCAACAGGCTAATTAATACTTTTTAGTGTGTTTTATGAAAATGCAAAAGGTAACTTCTAGTCTGTCACAGCAGTGAGTTAATGGCATTACAGGTACTCTTAACTCAGTTTCTTGCAAATGGCACAAGAGGATCGATGGCAGCATAGCCATCTTCCACAGAACTTACCAGGTTTGTTACCCTAGCCTTGTTCACTGGTGAAGAGCACCTTTGTCAGTTTCAAAGGTTTTTTTTTTTCTCTTTTCTTTTTCCTTCAATTAAATCAGTTACTGAGTGCTGTGGGCAGCTTATATGTTTAGACCAGTAAACAATATATTGGGTAGGATTTAAATATTGCATACTCAAGTGAGCTTTGACCAGGATTTTTACAGGGCAATCTTTAAATCTCTTTTACAAAACCAGCACATTCCTAAGGGCTATAACTGTCATTGACCTATGAAGCCACCTGACACATATTATGATATTGTCATTTAAGGAATTTAGGGCAGCCAGTTGAGTTGTTTTTTTTTTTTTTTTTTGGTTTTTCGAGACAGGGTTTCTCTGTGTAGCTTTGCTCCTTTCCTGGAACTCACTTGGTAGCCCAGGCTGGCCTTGAACTCACAGAGATCCACCTGCCTCTGCCTCCTGAGTGCTGGGATTAAAGACGTGCGCCATCACCGCCCGGCCCCAGTTGAGTTTTGACTAGCTGGAAAAAATGTTTGAGTCAGTCCACCAGAGAGACACACTTCCCACAGAACAGGTCAGCCTTTTCCTAACTGCAGTAACCTGGATATTTTGGCAGAGAAGAGAACTTTGTTAAGCCTGGTGTTATGGATTTCTTCCTTTGGGAAAATGGCCTGATGTACTGGGGAAGCCATTGTTTTCTTTTTTTTTTTGGCTTTTTTGAGACCAGGTCTCTCCATCTAGCCCTGGCTAGATCCTGTCCTGGAACTCAATATATAGACCAGAGATCCTCCTGCCTCTGCCTTCTGAGTGTTGGGATTAAGTGCTGTATGGCCTTAAAAAAAAGGGAGAAAGTTTTATGTTTATGAATCCACACTATGTGAGTGCCTGGGAGTTATGGATGGTTGTGAGCCACCGTGTGTGTGGATACTGGGAATTGAATTCAGGACCTCTGCAAGAGCCATAAGTATTCTTTGTTTTTTTTTTTTTTGTTGTTGTTTTTTTGGTTTTTCGAGACAGGGTTTCTCTGTGTAGCTTTGCGCCTTTCCTGGAGCTCACTTGGTAGCCCAGGCTGGCCTCGAACTCACAG